TGAGACGTCCTGATACGTGGTGAGACGTCCTGAGACGTGGTGAGATGTCCTGAGACGTCCTGAGACGTCCTGAGATGTCCTGAGATGTGGTGAGACGTCCTGAGACGTGGTGAGACGTCCTGAGACGTCCTGAGACGTCCTGATACGTCCTGAGACGTGGTGAGACGTCCTGAGACGTCCTGAGACGTCCTGAGACGTCCTGATACGTCCTGAGACGTGGTGAGACGTCCTGAGATGTCCTGAGATGTGGTGAGACGTCCTGATACGTGGTGAGACGTCCTGATACGTGGTGAGACGTGGTGAGACGTCCTGAGATGTCCTGAGACGTGGTGAGACGTCCTGAGATGTCCTGAGACGTGGTGAGACGTCCTGAGACGTCCTGAGACGTGGTGAGACGTCCTGAGATGTCCTGAGACGTGGTGAGACGTCCTGAGATGTCCTGAGATGTGGTGACAGTTCGTCAGGTCGAGTAAAGAAGGCTCTTTGTCCTGAACGACCTGCAGGGGGTGAGGGGAATCAGTTTCAGGGAAGTGACCCCTGACCTCTGACTTCCTGGTTTGGAGTTTCTTTAATGGTAGCAAGACGCTCGGTCCAACGTGCTCCACGCCAGGTTTCCCCCTGGCTCCCTCACCGCCACACGACCCGGCTCCGATGCTCGCCGCCCTGCAGGAATGTGCGTCTCCTTCTCGGGCTTCCAGTCTGTTTATCCATAATTACAAACAGACCGAAGAGCCGCAGTCGGAGTCACAGCTTCCGTCGCGGTTAAAAACTCGTCCTGCCTCCTCTGAATCAGATCCCCCGCCCCCCCATATCTCGCCGTCCTCGCCCTGACTCTTTCCTGGCACTCCTCTCAAACACTTCTGACCTTTTACTGCAGGGAGGACGGCTGCGTGGAACAACATCACCAACAACAACAACAACAACACATCAGACAGTCTCTGTCTGGAACAACAACAACAAAAACAACAACACCACATCAGACAGTCTCTGTCTGGAACAACAACAACAAAAACAACAACAACAACAACTACAACACCAACAACTACAACAACAACACCACCACATCAGACAGTCTCTGGAACAACACCAACAACAACAACAACAACACCACATCAGACAATCTCTGTCTGGAACAACAAAAACAACAACACCACATCAGACAGTCTCTGTCTGGAACAACAACAACAAAAACAACAACAACAACATCACATCAGACAGTCTCTGGAACACCACCAACAACAACAACACAAACAAAAACAACAACAACACCACCACCACCACCACCACATCAGACAGTCTCTGGAACAACAACAACAACACCAACTACAACAACTACAACAACAACACCACCACATCAGACAGTCTCTGGAACAACAACAACAACAACAACACCACATCAGACAGTCTCTGGAACAACAACAACACCAACAACAACAACACAAATAACATAAACAACAACACCACATCAGACAGTCTCTGGAACAATAACAACAAAACAACAACAACAACAACACAAACTACAACACCAACAACTACAACAACAACACCACCACATCAGACAGTCTCTGGAACAACAACAACAACAACAACACCACATCAGACAATCTCTGTCTGGAACAACAAAAACAACAACAAAAACAACAACAACAACACCACATCAGACAGTCTCTGTCTGGAACAACAACAACAAAAACAACACAAACAAAAACAACAACACCACCACCACCACATCAGACAGTCTCTGGAACAACAACAACACCAACTACAACACCAACAACAACTACAACAACAACAACAACACCACATCAGACAGTCTCTGTCTGGAACAACAACAACAACAACAACAACAACATCACATCAGACAGTCTCTGGAACACCACCAACAACAACAACACAAACAAAAACAACAACAACACCACCACCACATCAGACAGTCTCTGGAACAACAACAACAACACCAACTACAACAACTACAACAACAACACCACACATCAGACAGTCTCTGGAACAACAACAACAACAACAACAACACCAACAACACCACATCAGACAGTCTCTGGAACAACAACAACACCAACAACAAAAACAACAACAACACAAATAACATAAACAACAACACCACATCAGACAGTCTCTGGAACAATAACACAAAAACAACAACAACAACAACTACAACAACACAAACTACAACACCAACAACTACAACAACAACACCACCACATCAGACAGTCTCTGGAACAACAACAACAACAACAACACCACATCAGACAATCTCTGTCTGGAACAACAAAAACAACAACAACAACACCACATCAGACAGTCTCTGTCTGGAACAACAACAACAAAAACAACACAAACAAAAACAACAACACCACCACCACCACATCAGACAGTCTCTGGAACAACAACAACACCAACTACAACACCAACAACAACTACAACAACAACAACAACACCACATCAGACAGTCTCTGTCTGGAACAACAACAACAACAACACC